GAGAGAGAGAGAGAGAGAGAGAGAGAAAGAGAGAAATGGAGAGAGAGAGAGAGAGTTGGCAGAGTTGGCACAAGAAATAATCTGCATGAATGGTAATGCCGCAAATAAAGGAAAAAGATCACGGAATGCACACAAGTCCACTAAGAGCTCCTGAGTTTCAGCTCCATCTTCCCATGCTCCCCAAGGTGAAACCAATATTTCCTGGAGGGGTGTTGGGGGGCATAGCTGCTCATCAACACTCCCTCTGAGCACACACATTCACAGAAATATAGATTTTAAAATTATTTTTAGAGTTGAGAGATTGCACCCATACAGTAAAGAATTACCTTCACTTCTATGACTAAGTTTACTGTACTCTTTTTTATATGATTTCAGAAGATACCCACTGTCCTGGCAAAGTTTCCCTACTACAATCTGGAAAACAGAGCTTAACTTCAACACAAAACCAATAGGCTAGTCCTGAATATACTTTGTAGGTTATTGGCCTTTGCCGTAGTATGGAGGCCGTAAGAAATGCTATGCCTGTCGAGTGATCTGTTTGTGGCCAGTTACTTACATTCCTTCCCCCTGTCGTTTTCATATATTATTTGCCTCCAAAGTGGTGGCTTCTTCAAACTTAATCTGTGCCGATTATTAATTAATAATAATAAATAAGCATACTGACAACCTTCAGTGCATACTGACAACCTTCAGTTTCCCCCACGCATAATGATAAATCGCCTCACCATCTTGACAATCCACAAGATGAACGTATTTTTCTTTAACATTCTTCCGCACGAATTCCAACTTAGTCTGCGTTTTTGTCACCTCAACGCGTTTTCGAAATTTCAGTCTCGCCTTCCGTGGTCAAATCGCGTTGTGTTTTTTTCCGCTCGTTTCGCTGGCTGTCATCCTGCGCTGTGATTGGATGACGCTACATTTGGGATTTTCGCTTTCCTTAAGACGACCGTCTGTGAGTAGGGTCTGGGGAGGTTGGGTTTGTCGAAAATGAGTTATACCCATTTTCACACTCGTATACGAAAGTAGAATTACCCACGCGAATATAAACCTCCGCGAAGAAAAACTCGGCCGTGATCGTGGTTCGCGAATTCAGGGCACTCGTGTGCGTCGGCAATTTTTACATGTACGTATTTACCCCTTTCTGGAGCTAACATATAAGATTATATTTTGACATGACCTACTGAAATTCGTCAAGGGAGGATGAAAGTGTCTTACAATAACAAATCCCTGCTTGCAAGATGAAAAAAAATATATAGAACATTAAAAAATCATCAAACAATTGTTCGTGTTTTCCTCATTATAAATGTAGTATACTATATATATGATTCAATTTTGGTATAAAAATCATATATATAACTTAAGGGTTCGACAATGCCTAAGCAGTGGTGAATCTGTTTCTCGAAACGAACGCAACTTGTACCGATGGGCATGTCTACGCGTGGTCCCCGCTGCCGCACGAGAGCTTTCATGTTTGTTCCACCCAGTAATACTAGCGCACAGGAAAGAATGGAGCCCAAACAACCGAGAAAGCACATTATAGAAATAATATAACTATATTTAAATATATATACAAACGACTGAAGAATGTAAAGGCTTAACATTTTACATCAAATGTCAAATACCTTTATAAACTCGTTTGATAACGGCCTAGAAATAAACGGTTTGTGTTTTTACATCAAGAAAAGAAGCGCCCATGGGAAACAAACAGTGGTTTGTGTTTCTAAATCGTTATTTCCAACGAATTAAGCAACAATTCAAGGTCACTGGATAACTACAAACAACTTCTTATCCTACCCTTTTCTCATTTCTCGAACCACTTGTTTCTCTGTTTCTCGCTATCGCTGCACTTTTGTACACCTGTGCACACATTTATTGACATGTATATATATTTACACATACATGCGCACACATTTACATACACATGTACACAATTACGTCAACAAATATATGCACATGGTTTTATATACATATGCACATACGTGTACACACATTTTTTAAAAATGCCTATTATACATGTCTTCCAATCTCCGTATCTTCGTGCGACATGCATCACTTGAAAGAGAAATTAATGTAGTTTTTTTTTTTTTTTTTGCAATTGGATGACAAAAACTGACTGGAGGATTTAAATTTTGTTAACAGTTAAAAGTTTATGAAAATGTGCCGAGACTGACGCGACGCGACGGTCCCGATTTTTTTTTTTTTTTTGTAATTGGATGACAAAAACTGACTGGAGGATTTAAATTTTGTTAACGTTTAAAAGTTTATGAAAATGTGCCGAGACTGACGCGACGCGACGGTCCCGATTTTTTTTTTTTTTTTTTTTTTTTGAGGGGGGGAGGGCAAATTTCAAAAGATCGAAAATGTTTTTTAGGAAACTAAGACAAGTAAAAAAAAAACGCGTCAATCCCTAGATTTGATCGATGTTTATGCTGATTTTTTATTATTATTATTATTTTTTATTGCATAGTATGTAACCGTGTGGACCAATATCGGCACGCAGGAGCCGTATGTGGGGGAGGGGGGGATTTGAGGGAGGCATCACCCCCCTTCGCAGAATTTACAAAAAAAACAAAAGATGTGGAATTCTAAAATAAAAATATCCAAATTTGAAGAAAATCGATAAGATGGTTTTGTTTCTATTAGTATTTTTTTAAATACCTCACTTTACCCCCCCTTACCCCTCATTTTTACCTTACTCCCTTAATGAGAGTGTGATCTAGGGTAAATACTTCTGAGAAAATAAGTAAATCGCATAATAATACTCCCACAAAACTTTGGTTTATTCTGCATATAACTTGCTTACCCCCCCCCCCCAAAAAAAAAAAAAAAAAAACGCAGGTAGCGCAGTTTACCGATTGCCATTTGATTACTTAAGCTTTATATTTCTATGAGACATTACATTACATTTCTCCGGGCCATAATATTACATATTTCTCTGCCTGTCCGCGAGTGTTTATCAAGATTTTGAATATACTTACAATTTGTGAATTTGTGATAAGACGACCACTGACCTTTACTCTACAAGACAAAGAGCCATGCAATCAGACGGAAAGTAGAAATGAAGATAAATAATTTGAGAGCAAATCAGAAACAAATAAATCATTAATACACATATTACTCATGAACCTGTTAGTGTTAGTGGAATGCCGCAAGGACCTGTTCTTGGGTCCCTTCCGTTCCTTATTATGACCGAGAATGCTCAAAATTCAATCGAATTTTATCTCGCCTATAATATCTACATTTAGTTATCTCTCACATATCAATAAATGCTATAGACTGACATTTGAATATTGTTAAAGACGTAAGTACACCATAAAGTTAATTAGATGAAGAGGACAGCTCGGGCTGAATCAAATTCTATCCCTTGTCAAGTATCAATTCCTAGGATCTTAAAACGCGCGTGTGTGTGTATGTGTTTATGTTCCAGGCGCATATGTGTGTGTTTGTGTGTGTGTGTGTGTGGGAGGGGGTGTTTGCAGGCGCGGACATGCATTAGCATACGTGTATGTGTATGAATATGCATTTGAATAAGCATGGAGGTTGATGTTATAAGCCTCATACGCAAACGTTTCCACTCTAACTTTCATTTGAGAACATTTAAGTAATGGCTTAATAGTGTAAGCAAGAATAAACGAGTTTTTTGTACTGCTAATAAACAGGAAGTGGCTGACATATGTACCAAAGGAACGCATAAAGTTGCCTATTCTGTGCGTGTGAATGAATATAAGCGACCACATGCTCGCGCACGTGCACACACAGTGTGTGTATATATATATATATGTATATATATATATGTGTGTGTGTGTGTGTGTGTGTGTGTGTGTGTGTGTGTGTGTGTGTGTGTGTGTGTGTGTGTGTGTGTGTGTGTGTGTGTGTGTACTGGTGTATGTTTATGTATGTATTGGTGTAAGCATATATATATATATATATATATATATATATATATATATATATATATATATATATTATAGGTGTATGTATATATATTATAGGTATATGTATATATATTATAGGTGTATGTATATATATTATAGATGTATGTATATATATATATATGTATTTGTGTATGTATATATATTGTAGGTGTATGTATATATATGTATTTGTGTATGTATATATATGTATTTGTGTATGTATATATATTATAGGTGTATGTATATATGTATATATGCATGTATATATGTATATGTATGTGTATACATCTATATATGTATGTGTATACATATATATATGTATATGTATATATGTATATGTATGTATATATGTATGTGTATGTATATGTATGTATATATGTATGTGTATGTATATATGTATGTGTATGTACATATATGTATGTGTATGTACATATATGCATGTGTATGTATATATATGTATGTGTATGTATATGTATATGCATATGTATATATATGTATGTGTTTATGCATGCGTATGTATATATATGTATGTGTTTATGCATGCGTATGTATATATATGTATGTGTTTATGCATGCGTATGTATATATATGCATGTGTTTATGCATGCGTATGTATATATATGTAAATGTGTATATTTATACACAGATATCGTGGGAAGTGGACGTGAAGAACTAAAAGAAAACTGAAATACGAGATGTGCATACTAGATGTTAATGGGCAACCATTCTGAAGAGGCCAAGCCTGGTGGTCACGCACATCATTCCCTGTCTAATCCCGAGCCCCATGTCAGGTCAACTAGCAGGTGTGAACTCGCACGACTGTTCGTCGGTATCTTGAATTCAAATGACAAGACTTCAGATAATGATGTATGTCAAATATGTTATTCAAACAAGCACCTGAAATTATATATTTATTATGGCAACACCCAGACATTTTGCTTTTCATATTTCTTTTAAAGAACTTTAGAAAAAAATTAACAATACTTTTTAGCATTGTTTATTGTTGTATTACAGGATTCGGGTTTGCACACCCACCCACACCCACACGCAAGCACACCCACACACACACACACACACACACACACACACACACACACACACACACATGCCATAAATTATTACTTAAAATAACTGTGGAATATAAGAATTATGGTTCAGTATCCTGGAAAATACAACGGACAATTTAAAAATTTACAACCACTGAAACTATAAACCTCACTTGTTTACAAACGGTCACTTTTTCACTAGGTGTGTTCGGGGTGAGGTCAACACAGGAAGATATTTTACAGTACATTTTTATCTCCCACTTTCATATATACCGCACCCTACATAGAAACGCCCACTCACAATAATCTTTCTTCTCGTTTTACCATTTTTTTTCCTCTTTTCGTGAGTCGTGTTTACCTTGATGAGAGAGTGATAAGTATGCGATTTACCTTTACTTTAAATCACCATGACCAAATGCGTTCTAAAATGTATGTGCAAACCTTGTACGAATAGTATTTAAAAGTATATATTGGAGTTTTGTGTATTTCAGGTACGTACGCAATAAGAATAACTAGCCCCATTCTCTACTTTCATCGTATTACAGATGTAGCTTAGACAATATCAAATTTCAAGTCTCTAAAACAACAGATATTCGAGGTATAAGTATGCTATCTTTACTTTATAAAACGTATCATAAGCCAGAATTCTTGTCATTTCTACAAATAACAAATTGTAATTGGTATAAAGTGCCATGCCATTAGACGGTTTATGAATAGGCCTAAAATGCGCCAACCACTCGAAGTGGGTCAGCGTTTTTTGCCGTTATCCCCTCGAACAAGAACTCCCTCAGCCTGCGGTCGAGGTGCCAATTCACGATGATGCCATTCGAAAGAGATATGATCATTATTTCGAACAATACTTTATTATAGATTTCTACCATATACGTAATAAATTTTCTTGGTTTATCTCTGTCTTCAGCAATGACATAGGTTTAACTTATTTTTAGATGACATGGTGGTGAAGATTGAATTTTCTTTTAAAAGTCTCACTTTCGGTTACACCAAGCATAATAGTTATAATAATCTCTCTAGTTCTTTTTTGTTTGTGTTGCACCAATATATTCTATTTGACATCAAAACTAACCAAGTAAATTTATCCTTCACATTATGGTGTATTCTTTGGAATCTCATTTTATAAGTTGGCATGTTTCCCCTCTCCTTCCACACCACATCGCACTGTAGTATCTCGTGTCCCTTTCCCACGGCACGGTACTTTTTTTTCAAACTACTTACCTACATTTACATTAGAATTTTATGAAATCAGAGACCACTCTGGGTCGCCAAAGTATACAAAAAGAAAAAAAAAGAAAATGCATTTTTACCTGTCATGGGAACCATATCTCCTGCGGTAGTACATTTCCTCTTCTACATAATCTACAGTTTCGTAAATACCAAACTCTTCGCGATAATTTTCACCACTCCGACCATAATACTCCATAGAATGGTTGTTATCGTAGGAATGTTCATGGTAGTAACCACGATAGCTTTCGCCTTGGTGGCGAGAAATCCTCCCGTGTCTTTCGTCCCAAGGATTCATACTCTGTTCTTTAGACGCGAATTCCTCAGCAACTGAACGTTTCCTTACTCAATCTTTCCAAAAGGCGTTTTGTTATCCATTTATCACTTACATTAAAAGAAAAAAGTTCTCACTCAAACTTTCGACTCCCCAACAAGTCCATTTCTAGGACGAATGAGGACACGACCTTAACCTCTGACGGTCAGACCCACACTGAAAGTAGCCGATCCCGGGCAGCTGGCACCGTGCAAGTTAGGTGCCGACATTTGACTTTACTGACATTAAACTGTGTATGATGCCAGTGAAGAAAGCTGCTATTTATTCTGTATTTGCAGTCAGAATGTTCTAGAATTGAAACAACGATCGCATTAATCTAAACAAGTGTAAATCTTCATATAGCGAAAGAGTCAAGATTATCAAAACAAACGGGGATTCCTGTTTGCACAGAGGATGCTGGATATGCTTATTTTGATGATGTATTCAAGAAGGGTGAAATTTTCAACTAATTAATTTTACCAGAGAATGAGTATTATATTTACATACACATACATGTGTGTGTATGTATGTATGTATGCATGTATGTGTGTGTGTGTGTGTGTGTGTGTGTTTGTGTGTGTGTGTGCGTGTGTGAGGATGTGTGTGTGTATTTCCATTCAAAGAAACAAATGCGTGACCCACAGAACCTCACTCTCAGCTCCTGGGAGCTGGAAGGGAGGCAGGCGACAGCCTCACCTGCAAAAGACTATCGTAACGAGACTGTTCCTGCTATGATAATCCCAGGCAGGCGAGAAAAAAACGGATGTTATCATTCTCCTTTCATATTCTTGTATGTTCATATATCTCTCCCTGTTATTTTATTTTGTATTAATTCATTTTCGTCCCTGTGTTATGAATCTCTCTCTTAGCTCCTAGGAGCTGGAAGGGAGGCAGGCGAGGGTCTCGCCTGCAATAGGATATGATAGCAGGGCAGCTCCTGGCAGGCGAAAAAAGTGTTTTCTACCAAACTGACATGACTCCATATTCA